CGTGTTGTACATAAAAGGGAATGTTTGGGCACCTGGTGCCAGGCTTTGAGACAATGGGAAGGAATGGTTTCCCCAAACAAACCAATGCAACAATGGTCTGACTTAAAAATTATTTAATAAAATGAACTATTAAAAAATAAAAATTAATAAAAAGAAAGTTGAGAGTGTCCATTCATAGGGATGGAGAAGACTGGAGGGTGTGCATCTTGGGGGAAGAGCAGGCATTTGGTTTTGGACAGATTGAGTTTGTGACTTATTAGGCAGCTGTTAAGAGATGCCTTATAACTAGGGGGATACAGAAATTTGGAGTTTAGGAGAGAGGAAAGGCCTGGAAGACATAAATTTGGGAGTCAACAACAAGCGCTATCTATTGGCCTGGAACATATCTTCAGGGAGTGAATATAAACAAGAAAAAGAAGACTAATCCTCAGTGGTCCTCTGTGGCAAGCAGAATGTTGGCTTTCAAAGATGTCCAAACCCCAGAACCTGTTACTGTGTTACTGTATGTGGCAGAAGGAACTTTGCAGATGTGATGAAGGCTGAGGACTTCTAGATGGAGAGATTATCCTAAATTCAATCTAAGGACTTTTAGATGGAGAGATTATCCCAGACTATCCAGATGGGCTCAACTTAATTATGTGAGTGCTTTCAAGCAGAAGACCCTTGCTGGCTATGGTCAGAGAAGTCTGTGAAGGTGGAAGACGAGTCAGGAAGATGCATCATTTCTGGCTTTTGAGATGGTGGAAGGGGCCCTAGAGCCAAGGAATGCAGGTGGCCTCTGGGAGCTGGAAAAAGCAAGGAAATGGATTGTCCCAAAGAGCCACCTGGAGGGAATACAGCCCTATTAACACCTGGATTTTCAGCCCAGTGAGACCCATTTTAGACTCTTGACCTCCAGAACTGCAAGATAATACATTTGTATTATTTAAGCCACCAAGTTTGTGGCAGTTTGGTACAACAGCAACAGAAGAGAAACACATCCTCTTCCATGAAGAGGGAAAGGAGGAGAGGGAGCGCCTGGGGCGCCTGAGAGGCAGCCAGTGAGAGGAGAGTAGGAGGAAACGGTGTGGGTCCCAGAAGCAAAGGAGTGGGGAGCAGAGACTGAGTCATCTTTTGCCAGTAGGTCCAATAGGATGAGGATAAGGACTCAACCACTGGACTGAGGAAAGTGAAGGATAATAATTCTTTTGAAGAGTTTTCTACAAAAGGGAACAAAGAAATGCAACGACAGTTAAGAGATAGTTGTCGTCACTGTTGTTTAAAATGGGAGAAATAACGTGTGTTGGAACTCGACTGGGGTGATACAGAGCAGGAGAGACATGACATTGTAAAGAGAGGGAAGGCCAGCTGGAGGCTTGTCCTCAAGTAACAAGACAGGCTCTAGTGCACAATTAGAATCGGCTTTCCACAGGAAATATATGCAACAAGTGGTAAGCGGAGTGCACGGCTGCTGCTGCTGGTGATTTCTGTTTTCCTGCTCTGTAGGAAGAGAGCGAGAAGATCAAGGCCAAAGATGAAGAAGTCTACAGAGAGAGGAGAAGTAGAATGGTCCTCTGCAAGGGTGGGAAACAGAGTGGAGTAGGGAGGAACAGCATGGTTGCCAGGTAGCATTTGAGACCTGCCAAAAGTTCAATTATTTCCAAAGGGAAATATATGAAACAGAAAGCATCACTAAAAATGAATATGCAGAGTGCAAATTTTTTTCCTGACGCTGGATATCTAATTCCCAGCCCTCATTTGCCTGACAGGAACCGTGAACACTTGGTCTTGGACTCTTGTAGCAACTTTTTGGCCTCTGGGCTCTGTGTTGTTACTTGCCTCCCTGGAGCTAGTCTGATGAATATCCTGTTCTGTTCAAGGCCAGATGAAATGAATTTTTCTGTTTCCAGCTGCACCACACCCTTCAGCGACCTCCCACTGAGTTCTGATTTCTGGTCTAGACAAGACAGTTTTTCTGCTCATTTGCATAACAGAGATTATTGACATCCCCAGCCAGATCCCAATGAGTGCACAGACCTGTCTCAGCCCAGGTTTCCCTGCCCCAGCTCAGCTCCAATCTCCTCTCCCAGGTAGCATCTGCTTTTTCCAGAAAAGCATATGTTACAATAGTCTCACAATGACACACGGCCTAGGTAAATGATACACTGACCACCTTGGGCTGTTCTTCCAGAGACCTGAGCAGCCTGGGGAAAATGAGCACCCCATGGGGAGGTGGGGGTGGAAGTGCTAATTAACAAGGTGAGGGCAAAGCCACAATCTTCCTAATTGAATTTGGTCACATTCTGGCTACTATATGGACCCTTGGGAAGCTGAAGCCATAAAGAGAAAAGAACAGGGCGAGTTGAGAAGATATTTTATGTGCA